GCTCCTTCTTCTTCTTCTTCTTCTTCTTCTTCTTCTTCTTCTTCTTCTTCTTCTTCTTCAGACTCCATCTTCTTCTTTTTCTTCTTCTTCTTCTTCTTCTTCTTCTTCTTCTTCTTCTTCTTCTTCAGATTGGAGACTTATACTAGTTGGACAGAGATCAGTGTTGGACTTCGGTGGTATGAGACTGTGGTACTTACCGGACTGGAGACTTGGAGATTGTTGGGGTTGATACTTGGTGGCATCACAGTTCGGACACCGGTTACATTTGGACTCTGTATCTCCGACATTGGTGACTGATTGTCCTCGACATTTTGATCTTGTTGGATGACATTTTGGACTACCATATCGGTGACCTATCGGATTCTATTTCGATGACCTACCGGTGCTGTCTACCTCCCCCACCTCCTTCGTCTCTCCTCCCACCTTTCATCTGTGTATGAGTGTACGGGATCTGGGCATCGTCCATGCTTGGCCAAGACCCCACCATCTCACGATTGTATGTGTGTGGAGTGATTCTTGAGTCAGTCTATGTGAGTCAGTCCGTTTATCAGACTTCCGCTGCATACATGCTCATCCTACATTGGTTGATCTTTGGTTCTGCCCTTACTCATTGAAGTATGTAACACTTATTGTGCTGAGTCAGCGGTACCAGTCCCAGTCGTACCTAGTCCAGTCAGCAAGTACCATGAGGGACTGTGTGCACTAAGGGCCCGGTGGGATAGAGGCAGACCAGGGTCCTACAAAAGTATAAATCAAGATGCCGCGTCCAACCATTCATTCATTTGTTGCGTAAACCATGCGGAAGCGCTGCTACAGCGTCTTGTGCACAGAGGTTTGCAGCAAGCCCGGAGGACGCAGTGGGCGAGAGGAAGGGGTGTAGTCATAGGATAGCAGTAGTGCAGTGTTCAGAGTTACGCGTGTGGGATATACATGGTGATCCGGTGTATGCGAACAAAGAGTTGTTTGGGCGCTGAGTCGCCATTGCCAATTGGAAGTGAACTCGTATCTGGGTTGTGTTCCTGGCTACCATATCTCTGAGAATTGAGTGGGTCATTCTGCCAATTTGCTGTGCTACTGTTTACATACATGAAAAATGTGAACGAGAACGAGTCTGATTGCAAAAAAAGTAATAATAATAATAATAATAATAATAATAATAAATATAATAATAATAATAATTTATTATTATTATTATTATTATTATTATTATTATTATTATATACTAATCAATCTAAGAATGATAATCAAAAATAATAACAAAAAATGCAAGGAAAATGAGTGATAGCGTACTTTAGAAATCAAACAGCATCATGCATTTGAGACCAGATAGTCTTGACCCCGAACCAACAGCAGAATTGCATCACGAGATTCACCAGATAAGAACACACGAAGAGTTAATAATTGACAATGCTGTAATAGTCCCATCATCATCATCAACGAAGAACCAGAGTTGATGTCCTATCTGGCGCTCGGCGCTCAAGCAGATCCTTATCTAGCCTGTTGCCTACAATGTCGCGGATGACGTCACCAGCTCCCTGAAGTACGAGCAGATCTTTGGACAACGCCGTCACCTGAAGCACCAAGTATGTCTCTCACATTACTCACAACCTTGTTCCCCAACTCTCAGATACCACTTGCACCCAAGGACCACCATTCACCCATCTAGCATACAGCAGCGCAACTTGGAATTGGCGGCCTGCTCCTTCCAGCTCGCCATGGAGCTCGTCTATGTCTGTATGCCAATGTTTATCTGACCGTAGATTAGTCAGTTAGTCCATCTGTCTCTGCTTGTCCGTCTGTTCGTACCTGTCCGTGTCTGTTCTGCTAGTTTGACGCTATCTATTTGGCTGCCTATACCCGGTTTCTCGTTTAGAGGCTTGGAGCCGTATGTCTGCCAGCCCACTCGCTTCTGTTTGTGACTGCCTGTGTCAGTCTTTATTGTATCTGTCTGTAGCCGCCTGTTTTGTCTGGCTATAACTGTCTGTCAGACCGCCTGTGTCGGCCTTTTGTGACGGTCTGTGTCTCACGCGCACACAGCCACGCGTGTGGTAGTGTATATTTCCATGTTCTAGCAGCGGATGCATTCGACTCCTACTTCTCTTATCGATGGAAGTATCATGAGCCGGCCGCATGACTCACACGCGCACACACACACACACACACACACACACACACACACACACACACATTCCATCGATAGGATGAGCAAAAAAAGGGAATAATCTTCTGCTGAAATGTGGAAATATACACTGTCACTTTTTGATTTGCTCATTCTATCGATCCAAGTAGTGTGCGGCGAGGAGACTTAGCTGTTGGCCAAGGTTGGAGACTTAGACTCTCTCTCTCTCTCTCTCTCTCTCTCTCTCTCTCTCTCTCTCTCTCTCTCTCTCTCTCTCTCTCTCTCTCTCTCTCTCTCTCTCTCTCNCTCTCTCTCTCTCTCTCTCTCTCTCTCTCTCTCTCTCTCTCTCTCTCTCTCTCTCTCTCTCTCTCTCTCTCTCTCGCACACACACACACACACATATTTAGTAGTGAATCTTTCAACATTCTAGCGAAAGATTCGATCGATTTTGTTCACCCTCTTTCGATGGGAGTTGCGCGAACCCAGCCCGCAACCTTGGATTGATCAGAACACTCACACACACACACACACATAGTAGTACACTCAACACACACACACAGATGCACTAACACACGTACACCTACATGCGGCAATGTATACTTCCACATTTTAATGGAAGATTCATTTGATTTTATTTATTTATTTATTTTATTTTATTTATTTATTTATTTATTTATCTTATTTTATTTATCCTTTCGATACCTCGAGGTAAGCTACCCGATCGACGATTTACTTGTTCCCTCTCTTCCAACGTTGCTGCCGTCACCGTCGCCTTCCGAGCCGCCCTCGTCGGTCGCCAGGTAAGTATTCGTTCCCCTCCTCCTTCTTTCCTTTCTCCTTCTACTCCTTCTTCTTCTTCTTTGTCTCCTTCTCCTTCTCCTTCTTCTTCCTCTTCTCCTTCACTTTCTTCCTCTAAATGATAAGTTCCACGAACCTTTTCACAGCATTCCCAGCGTCAACCCGCCAAGATCACCGCTATCCTGACGCTTCATCGGACCATTCAATCGGTAGGAGCGATGGGCGGTGTGTACAAAGGGTAGGGACGTAATCAGCGCGAGCTGATGACTCGCGTTTACTTGTCATTCCTCGTTCAAGATCGATAATTACAACAGTCA